GCCACTGGCTATATGCTCTTAGCTGCCTCCAGAGACTGGTGTAATCTCTTTGGAAATAACCAGTTTTATCAGCTCAGCTTATCTACAGGTGGAGGGTCATCCACCTGAGATGGAATAGGACCATCTGGTCTCATGCCCTGGTGTCATTCCCTTGGCCAGTTTTACCTGTGGTACAACTGACAATCTGATCCCTTAACTCCAGTTCATGTCCACATTAGCTTAGAACTGCTAAGGGAGACAGGTGAGACTCACTGGCTCCCAAAAACACTTTCCCTTTCACTGTTCACCACCCTGGTTTTCTAATGGTAGTCCACAATTTATTGCTCCATTATATTAGGGTTTCATTTTTAGATGACTGCCTGGATGAAGAGACAGGCTGGTGAGTTACAAGACATATGTTTCATGTTGTCTTGATTACTAATTATAATACGAACCTTTGTCTTGGGATAAGCAAGTAGACAATAGGTAAACAGTAAATCCTCCCTGCCTAGGACCTATGTATAAACCTAATTTCAGGATCACACTTCTACACAAAGCAGTATTTAGTAACAGATGCCCATAAAAACCACTTTATAGAAGTTTGATATGCAAAAAGAGGCAGCTCATGAGTCATCACAGCACTTACAAGGACCCAGGCCATGAGCAGTGTTATCATTCCTACTTTCCAATGAAGGAGAGGCCCAGAGAGCAAAGGAACAGCCAAGAGCTGTACCTCAGGTAGCACATGTCTGCTCAGACACTCTGAGAGGGACCTGAGTCTACTCCGCTCATCACTCCACCTGGTAGAATGATCTCCATACTTCCATTCTGTTGTATGTGATCAGTATGGAGATATTACAAATTTAAAATGATAGCTGGTGTTTGTCTCTCAGAGTTTGAATGCTATAAGTTTGGTCCCTGGGGTGTTGTTGCTTGTTGACACACTAGATATTTAACAGGTGGCAGATGGTGGCTTGATTGTGGAGGCACTGTCATCAGAAGGGATTCTTGCTGGTCACATGGAGTGGGTGAATTTTAAAGAGATGAGCCATTATAAAACAGGTCCTGCCATTTTATGGCTTCCATCATTATAACATAGTATGCCTCTATGGCTTCCATCATTATAACCTGAACTTCCCTATACATGTTTCTATCATTGTGATGGCATCTGTCCTGAGGCTCACAGCAGAAATGAGTAGTTGTTGGCACCATGCTCTTTTACCCCTATGGCTGTGAAATAAATAAATGTCTTTTCTTAATGATATTCTAAGCACTGAATATTTTGTCATGGTAGCACATATTATTTCACTTAGCCTGCACAGAATTTCTAGGAGATAGACACTATTGCTAATCCTACTTTATAAGCAAAGAATCCAGGAACAGAAAGAGATTGAGGACCAATCAATGAGTGGTAAATCAAGGACCCACATCAGACAGTTCGGTAGAGAACTTCAGATAGGAGAGTAAAGGGGATATGCAAGGACAAAAAGCCTTCCTTAGTGTTGGAACCCAGCCCCCATGGGGTCTCTAAGAGTTGTTTTCCAGCATAACCACAGGTATCCCCTGTTTTCCTGACCTCACACCACTGGGATCAATATCCTGTTGGGAACCCTTTGACCTGGGGTTTTTGTAAGTTTGTGTATAAGGCTGCTCCACAATAAAGGTGGAAGACATTCTCTCAGAAAAGGACCAGGAGTCTTGTGGTTCATCCAAATCTCCAGGCTTTCCCCCAGTACTCAGACTTAGTGGCCAAAAGCAGCCACAAATGGAGGCCTCACTGAGATGGGGTTAGAAAGGGAACCCTGAGAGATCACCCTCAGAAGGCTGGCAAGCAAGTAAGGAGTTGTGAGGGTGGATTGCAAAAGGTACTAGAAAATAGGTACCTCAACTCCAAAGAGAGTCGGATTGTAAAGGCACTGGAAAATAGATACCCTCAACTCCAAAGAGAGTTGGATTGGATTGTAAAGGCACTGGAAAAGGGGTGCCTCAACTCCTGAGGAAGTTGGATTGTAAAAGCACTGGAAAAGGGGTACCTCAACTCCTGAGAGAGTTGGATTGGAAAGGCACTGGAAAAGGAGTGCCTCAACTCCTAAGAGAGTTGGACTGCAAAGGCACTAGAAAAGGGGTGCCTCAACGCCTAAGAGAGTTGGATTGGAATAGAGATCACAGTCAATTACACAGATAAAGTTTAAGAGACCAGGTACTGGTAAGATTTAATTTTAACTTTGGATTAAGCAATAATGCTAAGAAAATTATTAATGAAATATGGGAAATCCGCCACTGAGGAATCCCTCCTCCAGAACTACCCACCAGCAGCCAGCTGACCCAGCAGCCCGTGCTTTTGTCCACTAGAGCCTGCTGCGGGCTCCAGTCAGCCAGCAACGATGTGGTGTGCACAGGCTGGCTAGAGAAATTGCCTCCTGAGAAAAAGTTGGGGCACTATGCTTGGAAGAACTCTGACCTTCAACAAACAAGAGCTCCAAAAGTGGTTTAATGTTTGATATCTGAGCACACCTTCTACCTGGTGCCTGAGACAGATGCTGACAGGAATAGGTGGGTCCAGAGCATCTGCCAGATCTGCGGCTTCAGTCATACTAAAGAGCACTGATGTCCTGAGAAACCTTTCTTCAGTCAGTCATAATCTCTGCTCTTCTCCAGCTGAATTCAGCAGCTTCACTCAGCCCCTGCTCAGAGCAGGGTCTGCAGCAGATAGTGAGGATGTGTATACCTTGAAGGCACCCAGCAACATCCTGTGTATGTCCACCAGTGCACCTCAGGAGTATCAACACTTGCACCAATAAAATGCAAGGAATGCCAGCTTATCTCAGAGCACCGGACAGGAGAGTGATACAGCCACACAAAAACTTGCCCAGGGCAATAGACACTGTACAGCACTGTTATCAATGAGCTCCCTTTCAAGACACCTGTCACCAAGTCTTTTTCCATGGTCAACCACACCTTTAACTCCAGCTTCTCTTCAGTACTGCCATTCCATCTCCAATACAGATTCCAGAGACAGTGAGGAAAACTATGTCCCTATGCAGAACCCAATGTCTTCATCCCCGGTGGTACTAAAAACACAACTCCAAAAAAGAGTACTAACATAGCCCTGGCCCAGAGCCCTCATCGAAAGTCATACCCAGGTCCTACAAAAGATCATACAGGAATGGATAAAGATGCGGCAGTCCTCAAGACCCTCCAAAGATGCCAAGCTATAGTAAGGATGGCTATCCCTGACACCTACTCTCCTTTGTGACTTTTGTTCAAAACATGTATGTGTATTCTATATGCATGGTGTGGCCACATGTGTGTATGAAGTGTGATTGTAAATGTGTGATTGCTAACAAAAGAAATCGTTTAATTGCTGGGGAAGGAGCAACAGTTGTTAAAGTACAGGTTACTTGGGAGGGAAATTTCTGCTTTTTTTTCCATGGAGGGTGAAGACCTGCGGATTTCTTCCAGACTGGTATGGTTTCATGGGGCAGGACCCCCTGAAGCAGTGGCCCAGGTGATCTGAATATTTGTTTTCATTTAAATTTGGT